AACATACATTTTTAAGTCCTAATTGACCTTCTTAAACCATTTTGAGTTGGCAAATTGTGTAATATCTCAATGGGAACAGAAAAACAAAAGGTAATTTTGAAAAGGGCATTAAGGTAATAAATAAAATTGAACATTGGTTGTTGAAAGAACTTATTTTCTAGTTATTAATGTTTTATGCATATACATTGAAGTATATTAAAAACCATCAATTTATATTTTAAAATATTTTTGAACAATGAATAGTTATGGACTTTACAGTGTACAAAGCATTTTTTGCTATGAAGAAAATGAATGAGTTATGTTCACTTTTTTGATAGTATAATATAGAATATTTGTTGTCTTTTTCTGAATAAAAAATGCAGCAATAAGTCAATAAACCAATCCATGTTAAATAGTTTTAGTCATTTAATAAATAAATGTGAGAAATAATGAACATAGGAATAAAAATCAACTGTGAGGAAGGTGCCTTGCATTGTGCAGTTTTTGATGGTTGTGATAACACAGAAAGTTACAGTCCATGAAAAAGTAAGATATTTTCCTTTGAGTAATACATGGGGAATAGAAGGTGGAAACAGATTATGCACTACTCAGCTTACAAAATTTTGCCAAGCCTCAGGGCAGAGGAAGAAAGCAATTTAAACAACCTATGATAATGGAAAAAAAATTATAATTCAGTTTAAAATCTTCTAACCTTTACATGGTTCTAAATCTCAGGGGATTATCTTTGTATGTATGTATTTAAATAGACACATATGTGCATACATACATGAGTAGAAAACAGTGCATTAGAGAATTCTGAGTCCTTCTATAAGGCCATATAAATAGCAGGACCATGCAATAGCCCAGAGATTGCTTTATATTGATAAAGAATCTAAAATCACACAACACGGGTGTTGGAAGAACTTAAAATGTGTTTGTTAGTATGAGCTCACTTTCCTTATTTTCCTCCCTATAATTTTATAATTATTCATTTCTTATTTAAGATTTTGTTGGCTATCCATTCTTTGAAGGCTTCAACATAAAGTTAATGGATTCCTTCCTTTATGAATAAAAGCATGAAGGATGTCTGTGAAATTGAAAACAAGATATGACTCCTCCCACCTTTCCTCTGACATCTTGCCTATAAAGAATATAGGAAATATTTCACTATATGCTATTTTGACAAGAATTATTAAGAATTATTAATTGCTGTATGACCCTTCTATCTGTTTTCAGAGAAAACAGATTGGTTAATAAAATCTACACCAAAGCATAATGACCCTTTCTTTCAGTAGCTGCCCTTCTAAATTTAATTGGCTTATTAATAATAGCTCCATTCAGCAAATCATCTCATTAAAATATCTAGGGGAACATTTAGTGACTAGCTATCTTAAATCATTCCCTGGGATTTAAATTCTGTAAATTAGGCACTCTACAAATGCATAACTGAGATTTTCATTCCCAGGGGAGTATTTGGTAACATCTACTTTAATTTTTTTCTATTCCCCAGGAATCACAATTAGGGGATTAAAATGCCTCCTTTTCTAAAATTGAATGGAAAATGAAATTGATTTATATTGGAGAAACATCCACACTCTTTTTGGTTCCTTATACCCAGAGCATAAAATGATAGAGAGTGTTCCAATTTATCATGTTAAGAGCTGCAATAATTAAGAGTTAAGTGATTGTTACTTCAGAAGATACTATGTGTATATATTGCAATTATCAAGAAGTTTCACTTGAAATGTTAATTTCTCCAAGAAATGTTATTGTTAGAAGGTTAGACGTCTCACCTAAAGTAGTTAAGTACTTGAAAAATATTCTTAGAGGATGTCTTGTAGGACATGAAATCTAGCCATCCTTCTGAAATATAAATTTTATCTGGGGATAATCAAGATTACTATTAATTTTCTGGGTTTATTATTATTATTTTTCCATTTTTTTCACTCTTACTTCCACTCAGATGCAAAGTAAAATTAAATGCTGTTAATTTTGACAATTACTCATACCACACCCTTTATATTAATGTAGAATGTCCTGAATTATTAAGACATTGACATGGGAGCATGCAGGTCGCTAATGCCTGTGTAGCCTTTGTCTTTTTATCTTTATAGACCTTGAAATTTTTAAATGTACTCAAAACAACTAGCCTACTGTGTTTGCTTTACATCTCTTAGCAATGATATGTTTTGCTTTTAGCTTTCCATTACTGTGACAAAATACAAACATAAAAAACTCACAAGAAGGAAAGGTTAATGGTGCTTAATGGTTGCAGTGGTTGGCTCAGATACTTTTAAGCCTAGAGTGAGGCATGACCTCATGGTGGTAAGCACATAGTGGAGCAAGACTGCTCATATCTTGGCAGTTAGAGACAGGAAGGAGCTAGGGTCCCAATATCTCCTTCAAGTCCACTCTTCCAATGACCAAACTTCCTCCCACTTAAATATCCTTTTTAAAGGTCTGTCACCTCCCAGTATTGCCAAAGACTGGAGTATAAGCCCTTAATACCTGGGCCTTTGGAAGACAATGTTGATCCAATCTATAGCATGCATCTTTATGAAGTTTAAAATCATTGTATTTATATTGAGTATATAAAGGTCTATAAAAACTCATACATTTTATTAGCAAAGTAAATAAAAATGAAAAGTGGCATTGAGCTTATTATTTCTGGTAAGTGTGATAACACTTTCATGGGAGTGCTTTCTCATCTGTGAAATCTATTGGATCTCACTATTAGATACTATCATTGTACTCACTTTTACCTTTTTGAAAGAACCCATGACCATTTTTCTATATTTTATAAACTCCAACATGAGGATAGTGGACATGTCTTATTCAATATTTTCTTCTTGGTTCTTAGAACAGTCTCATCACCCAGTGAAGTCTGAATGAATAACTAGTGGATGCATTTATAAAGAAAGAGGATGTTGGGGAAATTGGCTATTTAGAACAGCCATCCTAACCATTTCAAAGCATGCCAAGGTTTATTTTTCAACTTTACTATTTATTTATTACTTGGCCAAGTTACAAGTTTTTTTTTTCCTATGACTTCCAGTACACCTCATAGTATTTTATATAGTACTGGAAAACAGGTGTTTTAAAAAGTGCCTCTACTTCTTAAGTTTCAAAAAGTAAGACAAGTACCCTTTCTTTTTATACCACCAGTTAGTTGTTTGTCAATTTAAATCCACAGCTTCATTAGAAGTGTTTGTATCCTCAGTTTTAAATAAAATAACAGTATATGTCAAACTATTTCTTGAGTAAAAAGTTCTATGTCAACAAGAATAAGTAGGAAAAGAAAATAGAATAGTGTTGAAGCCATGTGGTAATGATAATACAATGTTATTGTCTCCATGTGAAGGATAATTCATGTTTTTGATATGACAATATATTGTAATCATGATTTAACTGCCACAGTCTGATTGTGAATTTAGAAAGCATTGCTTTTCTTTGTAATCAAAGAAATCTTACATAAAATTATATTGGGCTGAGCTATGAAATTAAACAAATTTGTTGCTAAAACCAGCCTACAATTTATTTATACTTATTCCTTGGAAAAGTGAGATTTGAAATTACAATGATAGATTATTAGAAACATGATGTAGAAAAAATAGTTTATTTCCATGTAGCTGTAATGGAAACAGTTATCTGTTAATGAAAGCTAATAGTTTTAAGTCCTAAGACTTGTAATACACAATTTATTTGGCTTCCCTCACTGTTCTCTCAAGAAATCTGATAGAAGCACCTGCTATTTTCATTTCTGTTATAGACAGCAGGGACACAGATAGGAAGGGTAAAGAACTTAGCCATGTTTAAATTGTTCACATATGATGCAGCCCAATGATTACGTAGTTTTGGACAATTGAATTCATGAAACTATACAAAATTTTTTGTTGTTAATTGTAATATTCATGTTTTTTATCAAATGAAAAGCAATTCAAATATTGTTTGGTTCCAAACTCTTATTTTAGAAAAAGAATGCAGTAGTATTTAAATATAGACTGTTTAGGAATAGAATAACATTATTTACTTTTCCAATGCTACTTTTCCTTTTGTGCTATTTCATAAAGTCTTGAAATATAATAGTAGTAAAGAAACACCAGTGATAATGTAAATCTATAAATAATATCCACACTTTACTTCCAAGATGCATGCGATTCCAAAAACCCTTAGTAAGTTTAATAGTTCTGCAAATTTTTTTAATGGGCATAGTAGATTTTTTTTCATGAAGTCAACAAAATAACCAAAATTCAAGTGGTCATATGTGAAATAAAAAATAAATTTTTTTTATTTTTTATTTTTCTTTATTATTCATATGTGCATACAAGGCTTGGTTCATTTCTCCTCCCTGCCCGACCCCCTCCCTTACCACCCACTCCGCCCCCTCCCTCTCCCCCCCAATACCCAGCAGAAACTATTTTGCCCTTATTTCTAATTTTGTTGTAGAAAGAGTATAAGCAATAATAGGAAGGAACAAGGGATTTTGCTGGTTGAGATAAGGATAGCTATAAAGGGCATTGACTCACATTGATTTCCTGTGTGTGGGTGTTACCTTCTAGGTTAATTCTTTTTGATCTAACCTTTTCTCTAGTACCTGTTCCCCTTTTCCTATTGGCCTCAGTTGCTTTTAAGGTATCTGCTTTAGTTTCTCTGCGTTAGGGACAACAAATGCTAGCTAGTTTTTTAGGTGTCTTACCTATCCTCACCCCTTCCTTGTGTGCTCTCGCTTTTATCATGTGCTCATAGTCCAATCCCCTTGTTGTGTTTGCCCTTGATCTAATGTCACATATGAGGGAGAACATACGATTTTTGGTTTTTGGCCAGGCTAACCTCACTCAGAATGATCTTCTCGCATTTTATAGACAAATGTTCATAATAGTACTGAATTAATTAAAACCTCAGTTTCATGAATCCATGTTCATAAGAAAATCAATAAAACTTATTCCATGCCAAAATAAATTAAAAATTTTACAACTTTAGTGTATTGATATTTACAAAATGTGTTCTTATCTCCCTTTCAGAAAGATAAGGAAGACCAGTGGCTAGAGAAGAAAGTGCAGGGAAATAAAGACCATATTATTTTGGAGCATCTACAGTGGACAATGGGGTATGAAGTTCAAATTACAGCTGCCAATAGATTGGGATATTCTGAACCTACAGTTTATGAGTTCAACATGCCACCAAAGCCCAATATTATTAAAGGTAAGCAAAACTATATCCTTTCTCAACATAGGTATGATATCATCTTTTTAACTCCTCTGGAATTTTTTTACTGAAGACAGTGTAATTTTGTAAACTAAAATATAAATTTTGGGTTCTGATCAGGATTATTCTGTCATGAAATGCTCAAGTTTTCTCAATTACTTTTGCCATGGGGTACTGGTTATTTTGTACAAATGTTTTGATAGCCTTAGTAGTTGTGATGAGGACAAGAGGAACAGAGGGAGAGGATGGAAGATGAGAAAGACAGAAAAATCAGTATAAACATTTTTTGCTGCAATCAGAAGAAATGCAAACAACTTCTCTGCCAACAACAGAGGGATATTGTGGAAATTCTATTTAGATTTACCCAAAGATGAAGATGAAACTATCCATTTCTGGCCAATGAGAACGATTTTGAAAACAAAATTTATCATTCACACATTGAGGGAGATAAAGTCACAAGATATAATTTCATAAAAATCTATTACTTATTTTCAAGGAGGCTCATATTTATTAGAACTTTAGATCTGTTCTAATTTTGATAGGTAGACTCTTTCCATCATTGCATTTCAATGTGCTAGTAATATTAGAGGCTATAAAGTTCCTTTCAGATATGCTATAGAGGTAAAAAGCAAAGCTGTTTCCAGATTCAACATAATATTTAGTTCTCTTATTTACTGGCCATATTGATCATATATTAACTATTACTCCTTAAGTATTACCTTCATATTTTGTATTATATGTGTTTATATATATATATGTAAATAAAAGGAAAATAAAAAATTAACTCATAAAACCATGATTAATTTGCCTAATTTTCATAGAATATCACTAATAGTACATTAATACTTATGAAAAAAGAAATAAAACTGGTCATTACGATAATGTTATTTAACCCTCTTGAATTTCAAACTGATATTGTTCTAATTTATTATGATTTTTTATATGTTATATAACAATATTTAAACATTAACAGTAGTTTTACACAGTTAATCTTTTGATGAAAATAATTAGTACTGATTAAAAGATTTAAAGTAATTGAACTTGAGGCTTTATGCTACTAATATTAATTCATAAATGCTATGAATTACAGCTTTTGAAATTTCAAAACTATGAACCTATAAAAATAATATGTATATCTTATATTATCTCTTTTAATTTGCAAAGTACTAGATTTATTATCTTATTTTTAATTCTGAGTTGAACAAGTAAGATCAACTCATTTTGTAAGTATGATTTTAAGAGATTAAAGGACTTATTTAAGTTGAAAGGTACTTTAAATTCTGTGCTATATCTAATGCCCTTAGGAGACGTTGCACCTAAATAAGAGTGATTTTGAGTGTACTACCATTCATCAATGTATTTGCCCCTCTGAGTTTGAACTATCTGTAAGTAGCTCTACAATTATAACATATTATGTTTCTAGCAATTATTCACCATGTAACATTAAGGATCAGGAGCATGGTGAATGTAAAGATGATTTTTAAACTAAGTCAGTGTATCCAAAAGATTTCAAAACTCTATTAAATCCTTAATTTCTTCCATATGGATGGATGAATACAGTTACATAGAGGAAATAAGTTCTACTGTTCTATAGAAACACAATACAGTGACAAGTAATTTTTTATATATTTCAAAGAAGTGGATGAGAGCAGTTTGAATATTCCTGATTCAAAGAAATGGTAAAAAATATAAGAAGCTGGAAATGCTGTTTAACCTGAGGTGATCATTACACATTCTATACATGTAGTAAATTACCCAAGTGCATTCCATGGATATGTACAAATATTATGCTACAATTTAAAAATATATGAAGTAGAAGACATCACTTAAATACTAAGAATTTATAGGTAAAATATGAGGTGTCAAAAATAGGTTTTAGACCTATTACTTAATATTTATACTAAGTGTCCATGCTATTTTTATAAGAAATTGTTTTTGAAAAGCCCAATAATATGTTTAAAAATGAAAATAAATAAATGTTCAGATATGTAAATATGTTCAAGTATGTAAATATATATAAACATATGATAGTGGCAAGACATATTGTGATGCATCTACCATAAGAGTGTTTTTGCTGTTGTTTTAGTGGAGTGGGATCTAATAGGAAAAACCTGGAAGGAAAATGTAGAGAATTATCTATTGTTTCTTTTGGCCCTACAGTGTTGAGATCTATTCATTTATTAATTGAGATGTCCTTCCTTGTAATAACTACTAGTGTGAGTACAAAGATTCCTCTGTGAGAAGAGTAGAATTGCCCCCTGACCCTAAAATTTCACAACACGATCTAATAAGGAAGACACTCAACATGAGTGAGCATGTACAGTGAATGATTACAACTGTGAGGTGTTCTCATGCTGTGTGCTATTGCAAAACCTTGGCAAAGATATCACATTTGTGAGTTGGAGTTAAAATTAGGAAATATTTGTCTTAGAACTTGTTAAAATGAGCATACCAGAGAATGTGTATCAACAGAAGTCTCTGAAAGTGCCTGATTTTCTTAAACAACTAGGAAAAGTGTATCTGGAAGAAAATTTGGAGATGTGTGAGTAAAGATGAGGTTGGAAAGAATGGTATGGATCAGATAATCCACAGAATTATAAAACATAGGAATAATTTTAATTCACCTCCTGAAAGAAGTAAGAAATAATTTAAGTAGAGAAAGTACATAAATGGTTATTACATACATTGTTCTTATGCATATAAACGATGCAAATAAATAATGCATGAACACGAAGACTTGAAGAAAGGCACAGCATTAGAGAAGGAAAAGAATGAATTAATTTCAGACACATGATTCATGAAGACTCACATGATATCTACAGTAGATGGGATTTGGTAGACAAGAATAAGGTTTTGTTTTCTTACTTTGGCAATTGGAGCATTGTTGACCTCATTTTTCAAGGTGAGGAATTCAGTGGGAAGAATAATTTTGTTTGGATAATGAGTACCAAACATAAGAGATGAGAAAACAGTCATAGGTTAGAAACATACACTATGTGGCAGAGAGTCTAAGCAGGTGAATGATTTTCAAAAGCTAGGGAGTATTAACCCACCCAAGAAACAATGCCTAAGCCTTCCTTGCAGAGGACTTGCCATGTGTGATATTCATTGATGTTCCCTAGGCTCTAGAAAGGTGAGACGTGCAGTGCAGATGTTCAATGGGTGTTTCCTGAGTTAGCTGGAAAGTCAAAAACTTAGTCCCAAGGAACTACAATGCTTAAAAAAGAAAATGCACCCCTGATGTCTCTCGCTGAAGAGACTAAGAGGTTATAGAGTTACTGAAAATTTCATGTGCTTGGTGTCTTGAAAGTTAAGATTAAGGTGCAAGGCATGTGAAGTCTCTTTACTGCAGGCAGCCTTGCTAAAGTGGTTTAGGAAGAAATTATCAAAAAATAGATTGAAGATTGTATTGAGATTAAGAGGTTTTGATTCCTCATTTATACAATGCTTTCCAAAGCATTTCTATAAAATTAAGGGGAGGGAAACACCATTTTAAGAAGACTTATAACTGAGAAAAGTAGAATGCATTTCACATCTGATGTAACACATAAAGTATTTGTGGGGAAGTGACCCAAACAAGCATGCAGGCAAAGCCATCTTGGTAGAAGATGATATTTATACTCTTTAAACTGTTCAGTTATTAGAAAACTAATGAAATCTATTCTAAAAAGGGGAAATAAAATATTTATTTTATCTACAAATGTCAGAAAATATTGTCTGATTTACTAATTAAATCCACTGATTGGCAAGGCCTTATGGAAAGACACATCAAAGATGTGTACTATAGATGAAGAATTGTTCAATTTAGACATAGAATCTTGAGGTAACTTTAAAGTTGTGATCATGGGGGATTTGTGAGATTTCAAATCACAAAATTCTATAGAAATAACATTGTATATTTGCAAAATATGGAAAATGATAAAAGCAAAAATTCATCACAACAAATTTCATAATTATATGATTTATTTTACATGATATAAATTTAAACACATTTCTGAAACAAATTATATATAACGAACATACCTCATGTTGTTTTAAGTTGGAGGAATATAGCTTGAAGTTTAATTTTATTTTGATGCACTTTTGTGTAAAACACATTGTAGAATGTTTTAACAATTTTACAGATATATTTAATTAAAATATATTAAAACATATTTTAGTTCAATAATACATTTTTAACTTCCTGTTAACAGTAGGTTAATTTTAGAGTGCACCAATTTATAGTACCAAAGTACCATTTTGTAGTAATCTGCTTATTTTATAATCATATACAGTATTTCCTATTAAAATGTTTTTTACAATGTATATAACTTAATAGATAAGTTATTTCATCATAACTTATGATTCTGATTTTTAAAAGAATTTGATAATTATTAATTTTTATTTCTTTTTTTTCTTTTTTCACTTATTCATATGTGCATACATTGTTTGGTCCACTTCTTTACTTATTATTATGAATGTATTTTAAAAGATGTTTTTCTTCATATATATAGAAATGCATTGCACAGAATCAGTTATGTTGTCTTTTGGGATATTCATACAGCATAACTCCATCTTATTATTTTTATAAATAATGAGAGCACTGGGTAGTTGTGGCAAGTTAATTTTTATAAAAAATGATGAAACTGTTTATGGAAATAGAGGTTCAGAAATGTCATCTGTTTATTAGTTTTATAATTTTAATGATGAGTACTGTTACTAAATTTCATGAGTTGACAAAATATAACATGCAATATAATATAAACAATCGTTAGATATAAGTATATTTTGTCAAATTCTTCCACCATTTCTTTTAGCTTACAATATGTCTCATATTGTTCATATTAACCAAAGAAAGAACTTAACATCTATTAGGAACTACTTCCTTTTTTCTTGCTATTACTATGAAGGGAGGACATGTCATTTTGTCTATCAATATAATTTGTTGGCAAACAACTCTGTTTATGTGTTCTTCACATCTTATGGTAAAATGGTTCTACCATCTGGAATCATGTAAT